TGGGCTGCATCTGCACCACTGTCCCCAAAGCCATGCACAATTCCCTCCATAACACCACAACCATCTCCTTCACAGGATGTGCTGTACAGCTCTTTTTCTTTGCCTTTTTCATGTCAGCAGAGTTTTCCCTCCTCACCATCATGTGCTACGACCGCTACGTTGCCATCTGCAAACCCCTGCACTACGGGACCCTCCTGGGCAGCAGAGCTTGTGCCCACATGGCAGCAGCTGCCTGGACCACTGGCTTTCTCAATGCTCTGCTGCACACAGCCAATACATTTTCCCTGCCCCTGTGCCAGGGCAATGCCCTGGGCCAGTTCTTCTGTGAGGTTCCCCAGATTCTTAAGCTCTCGTGCTCCAAATCCTACATCAGAGAACTTGGTCTTTTACTGATTACTGCCTGTTTAGTGTTCGGTTATTTCATTTTCATTGTTTTCTCCTATGTGCAGATCTTCAGGGCTGTGCTGAGGATCCCCTCTCAGCAGGGACGGCACAAAGCCTTTTCCACGTGCCTCCCTCACCTGGCTGTGGTCTCTCTGTTTTTGATCACTGCCATGTTTGTCTACCTGAAGCCCCTTTCTATTTCCTCCCCATCCCTAGATCTGATTGTGTCAGTTCTGTACTCAGTGGTGCCTCCAGCACTGAACCCCCTCATCTACAGCCTGAGGAACCAGGAGCTCAAGATTGTTCTGTGGAAAATGGTCAGCAGATGCTTTTAAAATGCAAACGAGTCCCCGTTTTCTCCTGCACTCAGAATGGAAACCATTACAGTCCCACCTGCTTTCTGCCATGTACCTTTCTTTCTTTTTATTTGCTCTATTTTATTTTTTTCTTTTTCACTTTCTGTAATATTTCCATAGGAAAATATCATTGGTCATACTATTTCTACATCATTATCTAGCTGTCTCTTGTAACCCTGAGACTTTCAAAAGCCATGATATCAGTGCATTTAAATAAAATAAAATTCCCTTCCCTGACCTCAGCCCTGGTGTCACCACATCTGGACTGGTCTGTCTGTCTGTGAGGTTTCCCATTCTGAAGGAATGAGGAAGAACTGTAGAGGGTCTAGAGGAGATCTGACAGGATGGAGCTTCTTGTGGTGCTGGAAAGAAAAAGAAACTCGCAAAGTGCAGCTTTGAAGGTTCAGTCTAAAGGTGGAGGAAAAGGAATGTTACTCAAATGGGGAACCTTATGGTGCCAGAGGTCACTAAGAAGGTGATGGCCTGGCTTTGTCTTTCAGGGAACAGCCAGAGCTGGTGCAGAGACATCAGGGAGGGTC